TCTTCAAAATAAAGGTATTGAAAGCAAACAAACAAAAAAAAACCAACCCTCTAGTCTGTAAGTAGATCACAACTCCAGTAATGTCTGGATTAATTCTTGCACACAGTTCTCAGTACTTTTCTATACTGAATCTTCTTGAATCTCCAACCATCACTACTCTACATTTGCTTTCAGAACTTCCCTATAAAAGTTGAAAGGAGCAGAGGTCAGGAGATACTTCTGGCTATTTGCAAGGAGATTCATGGAACTGAAGAATCTGGAAGTCAAAAAAGCAGTCTGAGCTTTAGAAAGCTTCAACTAGTACAGATTTGGTCTGGTATTGCTCTTCTTCTCTAGTGGTTGGGGGATATTAGAGATGTTTTGGAAGAATATGATCTACTTTTTTGCTCGGCAGTAGTTAGTAGTCTTACTGGCCCTCCAGCCAAATATTTATCTGTTTGAAATGACAGACGAAGAAACTAATTGACTACTTCTGCTATGCAAATTAATGAAGAATTATTTAACAAAGCTGGCATTTTAGTGACATTCTTCAGGTTTTAAAATTAACAGTCTTGTAAGATCAATAAGCCCTGTTCACATCACTCAAAACTGGTAGAGCATAAATTCTAGAACACTGGAGCAAATTTTATAGTGCAAAAGAGACTGCGTATTCTTTCTCTAAGGCAATATTTTTGTAATTTATGTAAAAGAAGTTGATGTGGCTTTAAGTACTCCTTTGCTCCCCTGCATCTACACAGTTCATGCCATACAGACAACTGAGATGACAGGTGAATAAAGGTTTGTGCAAACAATTACTATCTGTCTTAGGTCATTAGCTTCATTGGAAGTAAGAGCTCTAAGAGCTCTGAGTATTTTAAATCACAGTCAAGCTATCTGAAAGGTAAAATTAGTGAACTTAGATACAGATGTTTCTCTGAAACAGCAAATAAATAACGTTAGCTAGCACTGTGCACAGTTAAATGACAGTGTTTAAGACACCAATAGATATAAACAACTAGAAAGACCAGCCCTGTTCTAACCTTAGATTGGTACTGGACAGGCAGAAGCAATGCTGAGAAATTTTAGCAAAAATTACCTAATATAGACATAGCTATGGAGACTGGAAAACACTATAAAAATACAGGACAGCTGATTAGTGGTAGCCAAATTTATCTGTCACTGAAAATAGAAAAGAAAACATCTGGGGTGCAGTCTGGCTCCATCAAAATCAATGGCAAATTTCCCACTGACTTCAATTTTGACCACAATTTCAACCCTGTTTTCTGCATATACCAGTAAGAAAAGGTGATAGTTTTTTTTCTTTCTTTTCTTTTCCTGTATCAAGTGCGTTGCTTGGAGAACTGCCACTAACTTCAGCATTGGGCTCAATTCTAAAAAGGAATCTATATCAGCCAATTAACCACACAAAACAAATAGTATCTCTTCAGCTGGCCTAGGTAGTTTCTATGGCAGCCCCATACTTACTCTAAACACCATTGTTTTTCCATTTCTTGCTTCTCCATTTAAGCCACCAGCCACTTCTCCACTTCACTTTGTAGAGGCTCTTGAAAGCAGAATGTAGAAGATGAACTCTTTCTCCTTCTCTGGCAGTATTGTTCCCTTCACAGAAAGATTAGGTATTAGCCCATAAGGCTGAAGTTCCATCTGTAGTTGCTATTTGCCAACAGTCATTGTGTCTTTTGCTAGACCCAGAGGACCCCAAATGATTGCTGCAGAACCTGTGATTAAAACTCTGGGCCACTAACTAAATGCTCACTCTCCTTCCCAATGTCCTCTTTAATATTTTGTTTCAGAACAAAGTCATTGTGGGTATTTTCAAAATCCAAAATGTACATATATCTGTATTTTGATTTGCAAATTATCACTGTTAGTGCCCGAGTGTATATATATGCAGATGTGTAGTATTCTCCAAGTATAGAAGTTCAGTGAATTCTGATGTTTACATTGTGCTTTTTAGTGCTATGACTGAGGAAATACGTTATTAAATATAATCACACCTGCCAATTTATATTATCAGGTCAATAGATTAATTTTATTGACTGAATTTCATAAGGAAATCTCTTGTTTCTCTTATTTCTATTTTATTTTACTATTTTTTTTTCCAAAAATTGAATTTACTCATAACGAGATCTGAATGCACGTGCTTGTCTTCCTCTTGTAGGCTGCCAAACTGTTGTTACATAAGTAATATTTGTATTCATTAGTGCTTGGATACCAGTGTGATGGGCAACTTAGATTAAATAAAATGTTTAAAATAAGAAAGAGACATCTTAAGGACAAATGATTCCTCCATTAATTTCTGCAGGCTGAACTGTGAAGAGGTCTGTCTGCTGTTACTGTGATGTTGATGGAGAGGCCACTCCTTGTAGTCAGATACAAATTTCAACAGGAATGGAACTGGCCTGACATATCAGAATTCTTCAGTTCCAGTCATAGTAACCAGCTAAGGCAACTATAAAGCACACCTTAGGCAGAGGATTAAGACAGCTTCTTCCACAATTTACTGCTTGGGAAACTGAGGAGGAGAATGGCATGCAGGCAGTCTGGGCATTAGAGACCAAAGTCACAGCCATCTCCTCCAGCCTTTAGCAGAATAGAAAATATTCTGAAGCACTTGCTTCCTTCAAAATGTTTGCCTCAGCTGCAGAATCTATCTGATGATTGCTGTATCAGTACATAATCCCAAGAATGCCAAAAGGATTGCTCCAAGTTCTAAGATAATGTTTATCTGCTGCTCCAAAATATCCCATTTCTATCTGCAGAAAAATGTGTGCAAGTTTGTGTTCTGGTCTACACTGATAAATTTACTCACAATCTCCATACATTTTTGACACTCAGTCTTCATTACTATCATTCATTATAACTGAAAGAATCTCCGTTGATTTATTCTTGGCAATCTTTTGGCTGAGCAGCACAAGCTGTTGAGAAAAATCCCTCTGGTCCATTTTCACTTACTAGACTTCAGTGGATATGGAGGTCTAATAAAAGAGTCAGTTCCATATTAAAAAGTGCTTCTGCTTGGTTACACAGCTGGCTTGCTAAAAAGAAGGAAGTAGCAACAAAGTGTCACATTTCAAATACTGAAAGAATTGAGGTGGTGATAAACTGAACTAACGCATTCTTAATTAGAAGAAGATCTTCTAATACTTTGATAGGATGCATGGAAAGAAATACTGCATGTTTGGAAACATTAAACTCAGAAACCCATTTTTAATGCTGCTGGAGAAAGAAGGAAGTATTTGTTGCAGAAGTCTTCTGAAATTGGGCTCGTAAAAATTCAAAACCTGTGTTAGCACAGTCCTTTGATTAAGACTTAATTTCAAAGGTAAGAAATATCAGTGCTTTTCCCCCTGTACAACTAAAAGCCTATGGGGCTGGATAATCTCAGGGGATGTGGTATCACCAGTCAGTACAAGTGCACTGGCCACTGAATGTTTCCAATGTCCTACAATAAGTAAGGGGTAATAAAAACAATGTGGAAAGCTAGAGCATCAGCAGAAAAGAAGTGAAAAATTAGGCACAAAACCAATTGTTCCATCATACTCTGAGAGGAAAAGGAAGTTCTACTCAGTCTAATGTGTAAATGGGAACCCAAAAGTATGGATTTAATGCAGTATTAAAAAAAAAAAAAAAAAAAAAAAAAAAAAAAGCCAGACTTCTTATTTTCAAACTCTTGTTTTGTGATCTGTCAGCATTCAAAGTTCTGTCTTAAATAGCGTTGGCTCTATGTAGGAATTTGGAAGAGCCCTTCTGAACTTCACCCTCTGAGTTAGCTGGAACAGGGTGCCTGGAGAGGTTGTGGGTGCCCCATCCCTGGTGCTGTTTAAGGCCAGGTTGGATGGGGCCCCAGGCAGTCTGATCAGATGTTTGATGTAGTGGTTGGCAACTGTCTGTGGCAGGGAGATTGGAACCTGGTGATCCTTGAAGTCCCTTCCAACACAAGGCATCCTATGACTCTATGAAGTTATACATCAAGAACAATGTAAGGATGCTCAACTTACTCTTGAGCTCATGACCATGGCCTCAATTCATGTCGTGCATTCTTTATTGTTCCAGTAGCTAAAAAAAACCCCTATGGCTTAGTTTTACTTCTCTGTGTAATACAGACCAACAAGGCCTTTATCCTTCATTCCCTTGCTTTTTTATTTTATAATCTCTGAACCAAATTCTCCTTGATAATCGAGGCCTTTTCTCACTCTTTGCAGGTTCTGTACGTAGTATCTTGCTTCAGTCATTTGTACATCCAGAGACTGGTTAATTCTTCTCTCGTCCAGCATGTGCAGATTATTTCCATTATTAATGCAAATCCATTCTTTTCTGCATTCAGTTAATCGAATTCCTCAGGCCACTCATCTTCATTCACTGACTTTTCTATTTTCCACAAGTTGGTCCTTCAGAAATACTGACCTGTAGATTTATTTTGTCCATCTTGCAGTTTGAGAAGAACTAAATCCATTCATAATCACTCCTCCTCGGATATTATTTTTTGGTCAGCTGCTCTGCAAGGTCCTCCTTATGTACAGAAATTAAGCTCAAAATAACATGCATGTTGTTTTACAAATTTCTGTACCAAAAGTCAGTCTTCTGAAATGCCTAAAAAAGCCCAAATCTTGCCATTATTGGTAGTATTTTTGTCTGTCCAAAAAAGTTGTTTCCTGTACTCATATAATTTCCCTTGTTATTTATTTATCCATTTATAGAGTTGACTGCCTTCTTACAAATCTCAGCTTGTCAGAACATAACATCCCCCTTCTACACAAATAGTGTCCAAGTTGCTCTCTTTTACCACCTTTCCTTGCAGTGATTTTCATCCTAACAGATTAAGTTTTATTCATGCTATCACATTTTAAGATAGATAAACACCATTTGGCTTTGAACTTTGAACTTCCTAACTGTAATGTAATTTAAGTTGCACCCACATGGGCCCATACATAAAGTTTTCTTGTTTTCTTTTTAGACTGAAGGAACCTCAAAGACAAATAGCATGAACTTCCCCACCCTTTCACAAAGTGATCATAAATGTACTCATTCATATTAGATTAACTTAACAGCATTTGGTTTGGTTTTATATAGCTAATACATACTATTTATGAATAGTTCTTTTCTTTGCTAATAACTCATCATTCTAAGTCTTTACTCATCCACTTGAATAAGATACAGGTAATACTGAAATACTGATTAGATTCAAAACAACATACATCATTCATAATAGAAGAAAAATGTGTAGTGTTCAAAAACAAATTTGTCAGATGCAGATTTAGTCCAAATTCTAGAGTTCAGTGGGGTGAAATTGCTCAAAAATCCTCAGCCCCCCTCATCTCTCATAGCCATCAGTCTTAGGGTCTGCACAGGGAAATACAGGAAAGGAATGAGTTAACAGCTCATCTCTCAATAAATATGCCAAACTCAACTCTTCTTGAACATCACTACAGCCTAAGGTATCATTCAACAGAAAGTTTGCAGGCTGCAGGTCTCAGCAGTAGTAAGTTGTTATCTTGCACTCTGAGTATAAACACTGCCATTACATTGCCATCAAAATGTCTGAACATTCTCCAAAGTGGTAAAATTAAGTCCTTCCGTGACTTATCTTATAAATGATAAGCAAAAGGCTGCATATCAACTTGTTTTATTTCCTATCTGAAGAAGATAGGAAGCCTAACCTGAGATTTCATATATATATATATATATATATAGCTAAGCCACTATAGTACATTTTTTCCAGTCAGCATTGCTGTGATTTAGATGAGAAACAGCAAGAAAAGTTTGAGCTGTCACACTTGACTTTGAGCTGCCAAAGAGAAGTACTGGAGGTCACAGGCTAAGATTTAACTTATCTCCTTTCCTTACAGGCAGAGATGGTACGTGCTGCTTTCCAAGCACAGAGATCTTTCCTGGTGTTAGCATCTCAATGTCAAGAGCCTCAAGAGGTAAGAAAACTGACCTACAGTTTCAAGAGTCACTGCATCAAAAGGCTGTCTTCCTGCATGTTTTGTATCATCTCTGCATTTGCTTCTATCTCTTACCTTATACAGTGTACTTAGATGCTTGCTTTTAGTGTTATTAGCATGGTACTGCAATAACCAGAAGGTTTACAATAACCAGAGTGAAGGAATTTTTCTGAACCAATACACATAACATCACTGTAGAAAGCAAAGGAGGTTTCCATTATAGGGCTGTAAGTAGGATCAGTTTTTCTCTGGAAGCTGAAGACACTAGGCAACATAATGACTTCTTGCTACCCCACAGGGATGTTGTGTAATAGACTTGGAAGTTAGGGAATAAGCTATTGAAAGAAAAAAAGATCAATACTAGCCCCTAGACTGAATACTCTCAGAGCTCTGGATTAGTCTGATTTTGGAAGAGGCAATGCTTTTCATCAAGAAAGTGAAAAGGCATTTTAGATCAAATTGATTTATTTACTTTAGTGGTAAGCTTTCACAACTAGAAGGCTCAGGGAGACTGTGGAGTTGTTAAGAAATGTCATTTGAAATGAAATGAAATGTCATTTGTGGTTTCGGCAGGGCACAGAGTTTTGGATAGCAGCACTGTGTGAGTCCTGGGAACAATGATTGGGCAGCCCTTCTGGAGGCTGACTGCTCTCCAGCCTTCCTTCTGTGCGTGTGCAGAGAATGAAGACTCTACTTGCACAGCCTTCAGTTCTGTCTTTTTCTGGTAGCTCATAGCTCACTACATTCTGTATTCTCAAATCTGAGCTCTCTGCAACTAGGATGGATTATTGAAATTTTGCTGTCATTGTGGATCATAGAGATACAAATTGAAAGTGTTACTAATCAGTATCTTTTAATGGACTCAAGGAAAAAAAAGGAAAATAAAAGCTCAGATATGCCAGTTGAGACTTTTGATTTATGGAGTTCCAAGCAAGGGAAGGGATCCATTGTTTTTCCATCTGTCCCTGATCTCAGAGAGTAAAAGTGAGTCATGATTTGCAGAGAACCAGCAAAATTCCCACTGGTACAGGCCTCAAGAAGTCATTTATGTTGGCTGTGAACACAGTCGCACCCAGAGGCCCACAAAACTCTTTGTGCTTGTTGGTAAAATATTCCCCAATGAACAATCTCCAATGGCCACTAAAGTAATGCAGTGCTCCAGATTGTTGGCATTGTCCCCCTCTGGTGAAAGTTAAAGCTCTGGCTCACTACTTGGTGATGTGTTACCAGTCTGATTTTCTCTGCTTTTCAATTGGAATTGGAGTGGCTTCTCCTCGATTTTATCCCTAACATTTTCTGAACCTGATGTCAAAAATTTGATATTTCTTCAGCTGTAAAATTCAGAAACTTTCATTTTAAAATGGCAACAAAACAAGCAAAGGAAAAAAAAAAAGAACAAGTGTAAAAAGAGATTCTCCTGCAATCCAGAACGGCAGCTGCAGAAGCATTAAGAAAAGCAACAAATAATAAAAACCTTGCCATAAATATAACCACAGTTGGCCACATGTATAGCTGGGCATTATCAGGCTTGCATAGAATTGTTCAGCTCGTTGATGGCAAAAAAAGTATTTTTTCATCATTGAATTATCTTTTAGGTCAGAGGAAGTGCCAGGTGTTACAATGGCAGGAATATTACAGGTTAAGGTTCGTTTCTCAGCGACAACAAACCCAATCCAATTACTGAAAGTTTTTTAAAGTGAAGACTGTTAGCTGCATTTTTTGATAGGTTTTTGATAGACATCCAAAACTGTACAGTTGTTAATTCCTCTCCTCTTTTTTGCACATACTTTTTGCACGGTCCTACATGCAGCTATAAAGCAGACAACCTGAAACTAGTTGAAGGCTGCCTATTGTATGCAACTTGAATAGCATGCTCCACTGCAGAGACCGACAGCACAAAAAGCATCAGGCTTTTTATATCTCCGTCTCAGTGGGGAAAAGAATCCTTTTGCAAAGCTGTATTGGTTAACAGTTTTAAAAAAGCCTAGTTAACACCAGATAACGCCAGGGAGGGAAAGAATCAGGGGTCCTTCCCCCCCAGGACTTTATTGATGCAATGTCATCTGGGCTCTGGTTGTATTTACAGCCTAGAGCCACAGAGTCAGTGTGGAATCCAAACAGGAAAGCTAGTCATTAGTGTATCAGAATGCACAGGGTAGAGAAAAGCAAATGAAGATGACAGCATATCTATAAATGCAAGAGAAAAGAGAGTAATTCTGTCATTCAGCTGTCTAGACTGTTTGCTTTATAATGTAAAGCTGTGAATGAGCCAGCGGGCTGCGATTATGGCATAGTAGCTTTGCAGACATTCAGAGACAGCAGTGTGGAGACTGAGGGGATTTAGTGAGTTCCTGTCATGTTGGGATGTCATACGTGGTGCCTTTAAAAAAAAAAAAAAAGGGGAGGGGAAAATGCCCTGCAAAAATAAATTAGCTCAGCTCTTGCAGCTTATAAACTAATGAACAAGGAATTCAAACTAAAAGAAAGCTCCTACATGTATCATGATCCTTAGACTTTTCTGTGCTTAGCAAAGAAGGAAGAGAAATACGTATCACACAACAAGCAAAAATTTTCCCCTCTGTGAAAATGTTGCAGGCTGAAGTGTTCTTTCAGATCTTGAGCTCCTTCTGTGAGTCACTAGCAACATTTTCGGTTCAGCTTGCTTAAGCTGCTTCTGCAGAGTTTTGCTCCTTGAGAATAAAGCTGATATTTTTTCATTGGAATCTGCTGCAGCGCATAGCCTTTATTATCTGTATATGTGAAAACAGTAGGAGCTGGGAAGGTAATTCCAGCTGGCATACCGATCTAGCATCAACTGCAATAAATTACTTAGCAGAGAGCATGTTCTGTTACTTTTTATGGTCATGTTCTATATTTGTGTGTGCAGTGGAAGAGATCACATGGCAAAACCACCGTTTGATATTCCTGTTTATGTATGTCCCAGTTAACGGCTGCTGGGTGCAGGCTCATTCAGCAATGGCGAATACTTGAGTTCATCTGCTTCTCAGAAATTGCATTCTGCCATCAAACCTCAAATGTTGAAAAATAAAAGTCTGTAGGAAGCTGTTTATTATATAGAGATAGCAGAAAGAAGATGGCGAATGGAAAACAAATCACGTTGTCATTTTATTCTGGGAGAAGTTTTTGAAAAGGTATTTTGAGAGGATGTTGCTCGGGCAATTCAGAAGATAATGTGTTAAAGGAACGCCAAACACCAACCTTCACAAAACATTTATGATACATGTTTTGGATGTGAATTTTCTTCTCCCAGTAGTTTGAATCAAATACAATTGTGACTGAAAAATTATTATGTTGTATAATAATGTTAGAAGTTATTAGCCTTCCTAAGCAACTCTGTTTTACAAGTTTTTAAATTCAGGATGTTGTACACAAACACAAGATCACTGCACCAAACATATGAGGCACTGCACTAAATTCCTTGTCAACAGTAACTTATATCATCTCCTCTTTATAGGTTGCTTCATTTCATTTTAAATGTTCAAATAATTTTAAATTGCACATTTTATTAGTGATATAATATTCTATGCAATATTTAACAGTGTGTTTATGTATTATTTTTATATTATTTATATATTGTTGTTTTTAATTATTAATTCTGAAGCTCACAGTAACAAATAATGATAGAATAAGGTAAGATGCTGCTGTGTTTAATGGGAGCTACACACATTTACTTTGATCCTCTGAGTTGTTATGTGAAGGGGGTTAGTTTTAGTTAATGAAGCATGGTACATAAATTGACATTGGTGACTTGAAACTTTTAAGTGTTTTAGCATATCTTAAGCCTTCCCACAAACAGACAAATGTCCTTGCAATTAGGCAAAACTCAGGACGAATGCATCCCGTGGTAAGAAGCACTGCAAACAGCGACGAATGCAGTTCAGACTATAAATGCTTACGTAACTCCTCACTGAACTAAAATAAAATGCTGAGTTCATGTGACTGGCAGAACTCATGGATTTAATTACTACCATGGTTAGACAAACATTCCGATGAAATACCTGCTTAACTATCCAGAATGTATGCATGGGGAAGTGAGAGGTGAGAGAGGGCCTTCTTTTTTCCTTTTTTTCCTAGAAAAGTGGAAAAACATAAACCCAGGAAACTGTATTTGAAGTTGGAATGAGAACCATGGAAACAAATTCTGACGTTTTTAATTTCTTCATAGTCAAGCAAAAATTCCATTGTAAAAACACAATAGTTCTGGCCATTTCTCTAAATGAGTTATTCTCAGATTTTTTCTTCTAGAAATTAAAGATGGAGATTTACACTTTCATACTCTCCTTCAATTTAGGATTAGTCATTTTTTTTCTCCTATTTTTAAATCACTCTGGTAACAGAACTCCTTGGAGTCCTGCATCCTAGCAGGATTTTGTT